TGGTGCTCAGCACGAGCCCCGGCGCACCTTCCCCACCGGGCTTCTCACTGGTCCACATTGCATTTAATCTGGGCAGAGAGGCTGCATTTAATCCAGCCCAAACCCTGGCATCCAGCAAGCGCCGTGACCTCACCTTCACCAGGACAGGCACGGGGCAGAGCCCAGGTCGTGGCTGAGAAACCCTGAGGTCCTCCTGCCTGTTCTCACCTGCCCAGAAATGGGAACAGCAGCGCTTAAAAATAGAAAATTTTTTTTCTTTTAAGCATTCAAGCTTCTTCAGCCCCATTTTTAATGAGATTGTTACTGCTGACCACCAGCCTTTCACCACTTCTTAGCAGAAATAGCCATTTCACAGAAAAAAAAAAACCTTTATTTCAGCAAACACAGCAAGGGCTGATATAATCCCTCCGCATTCAAACCAGATTTACCTGTAGCGCACAATAACGCAGTCACAGCTACGCCACGCTCATTTTCCCAGCTTCTCTGCCGAAACAAGAGTTTCCATTTCAGAAGCAGCATCTCAGCACACCTCCATCCCCTGCGCCCACGCTGCCGCCTACCCCTCCTTACGGCCAGGCAGATCCAGCACCATTTTGTTAGAAAACAGTGACTATGCTGGTGCTTTCTATTACCAGATTATTTTTTTTCCTTGTATTTTAGAGGTATATCACCAGGTGGAACTATTCCACCAGAGCACCTCAGCTCACCATTCTTGTACATATTTGCCATGATTAAGGGGGGGAATGGATGCAGTTATCTCCTAAACAAGCCTACGAGCAATTTCTCTGCACCAAGAGAATTTCACAGACTATTTCTCATTCTTGAGTATCTTTTGCATTAGCAGGTTATTACTGTGCAGCTTTAAAAATGTCTTTTTTTTTCCTGGCAGGGAAGAAAAACCCAACTATTTTCACATGCTGTGACAATCTAGAAACCTTATATCTTTTTACACATCAAAGGGCTTTCGGTCTACTTCAGGAAGGTCTCAGCAGCTCTGTTTGTGTATCATTTAAAGTTCCTGAAACACAAGCTTGCTGGGCCACTGTGTAGACAGGGGAAGGAACCAGGTGCTTGAGGAGAAGCAAGACCCAGTGGCAATATCTTCATTAAACACAGATTTTTTCAATGGGTTGCAGGTGCCTCTTTGCTTGCAAAGGGTCAGCCCCAGCTCTCTCCATCACTGCCCCTGAGCAAGAAGGGCTAATGCTCCACAATTTGGGAGCACATACCTTCTACCCTGCTACCAGCTCAGGCTATTTTGCAACCCTAAGTGCTTTGCTTTAAAGCCGCGGTTTCTGACTTCATGTGAAAAGCATGAGGCTTGTTTCACCCGGAGAACAAAGCAGAGCAGGGCCCAGTCCTGCTTGTTGAAAACAGGATGAGAGATGAAAAAGAAACGCAGGCAAACACCAGGGAAGATGGAAGAGCGCTGCAGAGGGGTATCGCAGCATGCAAACTGCCTCCAGAAAGTCCAAGCAACACAGGGCAGCAAAGCCCCCCTCCAGGAGGATTTCCACCACTTTGCTAGAGGGTCCCAAGCATCCAGGGACCAGCTCCGGAGCAACGTGAGCCGTGAAGAAGCCAACCTAGAGATGTCCTCCTCTGCACGTAGCTCCACACCACACTAGGAGATGTGCAAGGCTTGCAAATGAAGTTTCCAGTGCATCATCCAGGGCCGATGGGCAGAAACGCTGCCAACAGAGGAGAAACATCTGCACGGAGACATGGCAGAGGCTGGCACGGATGTTGGCATTAGTCATGGCATAGGCTGTGCCAGCACCCAGCTCCTCTTGAGCACAAGCACCGAGTCCTCCCCCTCCTACTCGGCCTCTGCCCAGCCTATAGCTGCTGCGGTACCAGTGCGTTAGGAGCCAGGAAACAGCTCCCACGGCCATCGAGGGCTGACAGCCACCCTTCCTGTTGTCAAAAGACATCACCCCGGCCAGGTAACACAGCCTCCGCCTGAAGATCAGCCACCATAATTTGTATTTTGCTCACTGGCTCGTATAGTGCGTGATTTGGTGTTGAATGTAGCAGCACCTTGGGTCAGGCTTTGGCACCCACCGACACAAGCTGCCGTGCTCACGTGAGCACGAAGCCACCAGTGCCCGGCTTGGTCTTTGCTCCAGCATCACCACAGTGCACCAAGGCCCTGCTGTGTGCATGGGCAGACATGGGGAGATGCAGCACTATAGCACATGGAAATACAGGATAAGATGAGTGTTGCCCCCAAATAAACCATGCAATTAAAGAGAAGAAGGGCAGAAGATGTCCAGGAACCAGGGAGGGCAAGAGTAGATCTGCATGGTGTCTTTGTTCCCACCTCAACACCCTCCTACAGCCCCAAAAAGGCCTCCTTAAAGCCCGGCAGAGTTGGAAGTTCTTAGCAGGTTCCCCAAGGTTGGGGACCAGAAGGGGACAGGGGTCAGCCTGCCCTGGCACCAAGCATGGGTGCTCTGGAACAGCACCCATGGGAGAGCGATGGGTGCCCAGGGCATCTCTTGCTGCCCTCTGCTGGGATGCTCCATGGAGAATGGACACAGGACCAGAAAAACCCTCACCAGAACAGGTCCACTTGAGGGGAAAACACAACCCCACTCTTGCTTCCACCCACCCTTTCCCAAAGATCGATCAGCCAAATCACCCCATGTGAAAACAAGGTTACCTCCCTCCCCGGCACATGGGGAGCGCAGGCTCAGCACCAGCTGGATCAGGGCTCCCTTTCTGCTGCCAAGTTTCCTCTTGCTCAAGCTTTTGGCCTCCGCTTTCCAGGATATAGCCCACCGCTGCCCGTTTGTTCTTAATCACCCTCCTGCAAACAAGCAAAGTCCAACAGCGGTTCGTATAATGGGTCCTTGTGCTGCTGGGTGGTGCCATCAATAAAAAAAGAGTAATAAGTAAA